TATATATATATGGAAAATTTGAGCGAATTTAATGGCAAACACATGCCACCGCATATGCAAAGCTTGAATCAAGGACCTCTCGATTCAAGTAACTAAGTTTTCAACCAACAGGCTAAGGTGGCTTGCATGATTACACTTAATTATTAGTAGGTTCAAACAACAAGAGCCAAATTTGAGCCTAATCTACTTATGGATATAGAAACCATCAACCCAAAAGCTTAATGCATATTGATGAGAATAACCACACAAACTAGGAACCACAAAAATTTAGGGACTAGACTCTTATTTCACTTTTAATTTAAGACTATTTTCACTTTGTTTGTTACTGATAAGAAGCCAGCAAGCATCAAAAGATATAGTTTTATAGCATAGATGACAAATAATAAAATAATCTCCGATTGTAAGCCACTAGAAACCAAAATGTAGCATCTCATAAACCAAAAGATAATTAGTTTGAAAAAGAATACAGATACCTGTCCATCCCAAAATAGCAAATTACATGCCATTCCTTCTTTCAACCATTTCACTTTATCACCTACTTCTGCATCACTCAACCGAGTTTCTTCAAAAGTAGCCTAACAATTAAAGATAATAGTTTAATAAGTTCTTTTAAACAGCTATTTAATTGAAATATAAATTGCCATTTTTCCATAGCAGTTGTATTTAGTAAAAATAAATTTAAAATAATGCGGTCACCATTTAGAGGTGAATCCGATGTAAGAAAACCAGAAAAAAAGAGAGAAGGGGAAAATATTTTTGACTAATTTATCTCAGATAACCCAGCATTTGACAACAATTTCAATTGAATTTTTGAAATTTAATCTTCATATTCAAGGCCTGATAAATTTCAGAGCATCTCAGTATTCACTTCAAGGCCGTTCAGGATTACTTTTATTTTTTATTTTTACTTTTATCTTAAATTTTATTTTAAAAATGTGTTTGTTCAGCAAATTTTTTTTCTGTATTTATTTTTTTATTTTTTTAAACATCTTCTTTCATACCCAATATGTTTTGTTTTAAAAAAAAAATAAAATAAAATAAAAATCAAAATAAAAAATCAAAAGTAATCCTAAATGGCTCCTAAACAAACATGTTTTTAAAAACAAATACAACAACAACACAACAAAGCCTTAATCCCACTACGTGGGGTCGGCTACATGAATCCTTTTTCTCCATTGCATCCTATTTAGTGTCATATTTTCATTTAGTTTAGTTCTAACTTCTAACAAATTAAGATCATTTTTTATACAAGAAGCCCAAGTCTTCCTAGGTCTACCTTAGCCTTCCTTAACATAAGTCGAATCTTAAACCTCTACTCTTCTAATCGGATCATCAGTTATTTTTAAAAACAAATAAAAAAAAAATGATTCTAAACAAGCCCTTAGAATATCATTTTCTAACATTCTCAAAGTCTGCTAATAGCATGAAGAAACGAAAAAAACTTGCAATTTACCATTCCAAGGGATAAAGCATCTCCTTATTAAAATTTATTTAATCAATATACTTAATGCTGAAACAGGCAGAACATACCAGATCCATGAATACATAGTTGGAGCCATCTTTGTATGAATATTGTTTGGTTTCCTTTACCACGTTTGCTTCCTGAAGCTGAAAGTATCAAGAAAGGAATCACATTATGAATGAAACATAAAGAATCATAAGGTCAGCAGAGAGACTAGGCAAAACATTTTAAAGTAATAACCTGTACAAAAAGATGGTAAAAGTGTAAAAAAAAAATTCAATTCCTCCTCAATCGGTATCAAATTTGCTATCAGGGTTAAACGGATGAGCATGCCTAGCATGCTCCAACCAATACAATCACAAAAAAATAAAATGAGTGAGAAAATAAAGCTTTACCGTAGTTCCAGCTCGAAAGGTTTTGTCAATTGTGTTGCCTGTTATGTAGTTCCGTACTTTGGTCCTCACAAAAGCAGCCCCTTTACCAGGTTTTACATGAAGAAATTCTACCAAAAAATCAAGGTGGTAATGAAGATGAAACAAACTCAGCACAAACTGTGAAGTTAGCAAAATATAGAACAGGGTTAGCAGTTTGATTAATCAATGAAGTGTATGAGTTGACTGGGGAGATGCTTGGCAATCATGATTAATCTAAGCAATAGCAACACATGTGGACCTTTATTTCAGCTCCGAGCTTGAATTTTTGTATGCTAAATTTAACGCAGTTAACTAGCCTTATGGTCCCAAAAATGACAAGCACTGGCAGTGGCTAAGAGTCAACAAGTTAATGGACATGCTAAAGGCTTCTTACAACCACAAAATATACCTCCATTCAAAATTACTTAACCCTATATGAGCATGTGAGATTTCATGTTTTCACATAAAACTTCTTGCATGACCACAATAAACCCCCTTGCGTGGGACATCAAGTAGTAAACCTCATATATATATAAAAGAAGTAAATTGAACACTTTAGGCAACATTTTCTAACAACACCTTTTGTCTTACATAGTAGAAATAGTTAATGCTCATGCATAGCATAGCGTTATAAAAGGGGGACGGTAGAAATTATTAAGATGTAATTTTTTTAATTTAGTTAATTGTAACATACTTGAAGGGCAATGAAACAGTAGAAGATATTGATAGTGGTGCATGCTCTCTAGCAATGTAGCGTTCTTAAATATATTTATTCTTAATTTTTATACTTTCTTCCACAATTTAAACATGTTCTAGAGTTCGACAAATATATGACAGGATGGATCAATAATGTACTTGCTCACTCCCATGTTTGGTTGATAAGAAAGATCAACAAAAAAAATTGAAAAAATTAACTCTCCGGCATATTAATGTTTTTCCTATAAACATGCCACCAAACTAATGCTAAAGCAAACACTTGACAAGCTAAATTCCTGCCCAGGCTAACATGTAAATGAGCAAAATCAAAACTAAAAGATATTTGAAGAATGTGAAATGATTAAAAAGTGAAACAAAATTAAACACTTAAAAGTCAGCTTAGGCTATTTCATTATCATTAACAGGGAATCAAAGTTGGAACAAAGACGAGCGCAAGTATGGTTGGGCAAAGTTCCCGTCTGCCTACTTCCTATGACACAAGGAATTTTCAAATTTAAAGGACACTCCTCATAATTAGATAGAAGGTGAGTGACCTTTACTCTACTTAAATAAACCCTAGAGACGAGATAAAATTACTAGATTGCCCCAAATTAAAATGTTAGTAAAACATTGATTGAGTATCATAATATTTTGAAACGTAAATCCTATCACCCTCGTATAAATATTAAGAATATTAGCAACTCAAACTTGCTCAATGTGGTGTTTAAGAATTGCTCAATCAAACAAATACATAGCAAACTAGTAAAATGATGAAAGCCTTAAGAGCAATAGAAGCCAAATGTAATACATCGATTAGTATGATCCATCTTGGGATTCGATAACCCAACTTCAAACTCGACTAGGATATTTAACAATCCGTTCACATAAAGCCTTCAAGGCTATTTATTGTGAATATTCACCAACCATCCTTTGAGCCACTCAAATATAAAATGTAAACCTTTATCATCCCTGGATAAATAATAAAGATGTGGGTCACTCAAAATTTGTTCATTTCAAAATTGCTTTGCCACCTCACACAACTTTCACAACCGTATATCCAAACCAACTCAATCAAGCTTAACCAATACATAATGGACCAATAAGAGGAAAAGGGCCTTAGAGAACAAATAGTCCAAACCCTTATAGAAGATCTCAAGGGCAATAAAAGCTAGATGTGTGTATTGATTTGTATGATTTCTCTTGGGGTTTGACAACCCAACTTTGGGCTTGAGCAAAATATTTAGCAAATTAGTTACATAAGACCTTTAAGGCTATTTATTGTGAATATTCATCAGCCACCTTTTAGGCCACTCAAATTTAAATCTTAAACCCTATCACCCTTGAAAAAATATTAAGGATGTGTGCAGCTCAAATTTACTCATTTCAATAATTTCAACCACCTCAACAAACTTTCAAATTTACTCATTTAAGGCTATTTATTGTGAATATTCATCAGCCGCCTTTAGGCCACTCAAATTTAAAACGTAAACCCTATCAACCTTGAAAAAATATTAAGGATGTGGGCATCTCAAATTTACTCATTTTGGTAATTTCAAATTTATTTGACCACCTCAACAAACTTTCAAATTGCATATTCAAATCAACCCAACCCACTCGACAAATAGAAAAGCAATAAGAAGAGAAATCACCTAAGAGTACATCAAACCCCAATCCCTATGAAAGATATCAAGAACAACAGAAGTCAAATGCAATGCATTGATTTGTGTGATTCATCATCAGATCCAATAACCTTACTTCAGGCTTAGTTAAGATATTTTGATACCCATTTTCATAAGGACATTATTTTTCGTGAATATTCAATGGTTGGGCATATATTTCTTTAGTTTTAAGTCTTGCCTTTGCGCTTTTGTCATTATTGAGGTCATAAGTCCTACCATTGACCTTTCAAATTCTCAAGATTGTAAGTTTCACCTTTGGGCTATCCTCATTCTCAGTAATATAAATCTCACCATTAGGCTATCCTCATTCTCAGATTTTTAAGCCTTATAGTCCCACTAATGAGCTATGTCTCAGTCCAATTAATCAAGACAACACAAAGCTGGTAAGCCAATTTATTAAGGGTCAATCTTAGGCCTCTCCATTTTTAGAGTCATAAGTCACACCGTTGGGTTTCTTCACCTTCAAAATTCATGTGTCACCTATGAAATTTTCCAATTCATGAGGTTGTAATTCCATCTTTGGTTTTCCCTTATCCTCAAAATTTTAAGTCCTATCTTCGGGCCCCCCATATAAGACTTAACTTTTCAAATTTGAGATAAAATATAGCTTCTTGGGGTTTATGTAAGATGAAAGACACAAATCTTGGCTAAGTTCTTGATAATATCGATATGAGGCCACCAAATACCAATCCAGGTCAACTCCCATGCTACCAAGTTTAAGCAATCATCAGAAAGGAATTCATGCTTTGAAAGAATAATCTATTCACCCAAGAATAGCTACTCACTCAAAAGACTAGGCAAATTAATCTCCATGAGCTCTTTGTTGTAAGCCTCAAATTCTCGAGATCAAAATAAGTATTCCTTTAAGATGGAATCCCTATCATTTTTATTCAGTTCTAATGGACCAAATAATAGCCATCAAGTCCCCTCAATTGGACTAGCTCTTAGTGAATGAGTTCGCAAACAATTAAGAGTATGAAAAAACATAAAGCTCATGAACTCTAAATGAAGAGTAGATGTCAATCAACTGAATGTAAGATTGATTGGTTCATATGAGCAAGATACCCACCTAAATAGATGCCAATCAATCCCAAGTTGAAGGCAACTCTTTGAAGTAAGACAAATTATAGTCCGACATCTAAAGCTTAACTAAGGATCCAATATTGAGGCAACTCATGGATATAATGCAAAATTCTCTAAAATGTGGTTAAATCATGTGAAAAAGAATAAATGAATCTTAAGGATGGCCATTGAATCATTATCTGACATGAAATATGGTTGTGTAATAACGAGTGATAATAATACAAAAATCCATCCAATTTTTGTATGTTTTAGGGTATTCCCCTTTTAGGGTGGACCTAAATCCAGACTTGGATAGCTTAATTGGCAATGTGATATTGTTGAATTACTATTAACCATGTACAATACCTATGAAGCACAATCAAACTTATATCAAGCCTCAAATCCAGCTCAGTGTGAATTAGATATAACATGCCTTTTAGCCATTATTAATTATGTCTAGTAGCTTTACATCACGATCAACAATAAATTGTGTCTCTGAGCCTTTTCAATCCATAGTTAATTTTAAACTCCACTATTAAAGAACATGCTTTCAACCATATATCACCTTAGATTGTTTCAATACCTAACTAGGGGCAACTCAAGGTTACTTATCAACCTCCCTAGAAGTTAGAGTTCTAAGCCCTCTGACTTTTATAGATTGGGTCCATCAAGTCATCCTGATATTATGAAACCATAGGATATTAATTGAGTTATCCACACATTCCCTCTCTCCAATCTAAATGTAATTGTTGTTCTCAATAAAGTGTGTTCTCCGCTAAAAGACAAAGATATTATTGAAAATAGAGCTTACACTCATATATACTCTCAATCCATCAGATCTTTGAGAAATCAAATCATCAATCATATTAGAAAAAGTTTAATAAATTTCAAAAAAAATTAACCCTAAAAATGCCAAAAACCTCTGCCCAAAACTCTAAAATTTTATGATAAAATATCCAAGAAGCACAAGTCCCATGGAATAATATCTCAAAGCCTTAACTTTATGTTGAATGATACTTTCTTTAATTTTTTCATAGCTAATCATAAGTAATTATCAACAGGTTTTTCTTGTTTATTACCTAAATTAGTGGATATACTTTTTATGATTTGAACTCTATGGAAAAAGAAAAGGTTATTGGATTCAATCCCAACTATTATTTTGATATTGATATTCTAGTTGACAGCATAACATCACTCTAAGCTTTAAATTTCACATCATCTTCTACAACCTCCATTAAAATTCCTCAATGCAGATAGCACACATTCAAATACTCGGGACAAGGAACTTCTATTTTGAGTGATGAGATATCCCTTACATATAACTTTCTAAACAAACAATAGTTCAAATGCCATTATCTTACCCGCATACCTTAGATCAAAAGAGAAGCATTATCTTAAATTCAATCTGAAGAGTTTCAAAAGGGCTGAAACTATCTCTAGTGGAACAATGCTTTATACATAGCACATTTGCTCCTGACAAACTCTAGTATCATTATAATACTATATATGAGATAGCAGGTATTTTCAAGAGATAGATAAGCCCAAAAAGCCTTGCAAAAAAGAATATAGTAGTTGTGCAGAAGAACCGTTTCACAAGGAGTTAAAAGTAGAAAGTAGGGATGCAAATGAACCAAGCCGAGCTTAGCAAGAGCTTCTTCGGATTTGAGCTTATTTATTAAAACTCTATTTCAGCTCAGCTTAAGCCTAATTAAAGCTTTTATGAGCATGTTCAAGCTTTATTCATATAAGATTATGAATGCAAGCTTAATTTAAGCTCAACATAAATTCGATTCATAGTTGGATTATCAAGCTTAATAACGATCAACTTACTTAGTAAAATAAATTAGTTCTATTTATCAAGATGAGGTTGTTGTGCTTTAAACCAACAGTTCTTGTTGAGCCTAAGAAATGAATTTTAGTTTAATAAAGTTTTTTAAATTTTGGAATAGACTTGATAACTTTTTTAAAAAGTTTATTAAATCATTAAAAAATTTATTGAGTCAAGATCCCCCGTAAGGTACAAGGCAAGAGGATGACAGAACTAAGCTTAGTGCTAAAAGATTGTACTTTCAACTATCTTTAAAATAAAAAGATAAATTATTGGCCAAATGGATTAAGCGGATAAGGAAAAGAAAATAAACATCCATCCAATGTGCAAAAAATTCTGTGACCAAATCTATTTACATCATTAGAGAGCTCATATTTACATTTTAATAGATAATATTGAGTATTATACTATTATATGAAGATATGGCTTTAATCTAACTTAAAGAGCATATTTATAATCGTTAAATGATATTGTTCATAATCATAAATGAATCGAGCAGCAAGCTATTCAAGCTTGCTTATTTAACAACAGAGCAATTATAATGTAGTCATGTTTGTTCAATTAAATAATCAAATGATTATGAACAAACTTTAATCATGTGAGCCGCAAGCAGTTTGTTCAGTTCATTTGCAGCCCAAATAGGAAGGATCAATCTTCTTCTAGGACCGTTCCATAACAAACAGCTTTAAAGTTTAAAAGAAGTTCAAATTAATCTGCAACAAATTCCATTATTGAGCTTTTTCAAAAACAATGGAATATTTTTTTCACTATAAATGGAAGCAAACGCCCGAACTTTTGATGCAAACAAAAAACACAATCTTCTCAGAACTTTAAAAAACATAATTGTAAAAATAAAATAGCTTGAAAAAAAAAAAGAAGCAATCAACAAATCCTAAATCTTCAATATAAAGCAGTAATCATTAATCACACCTAAAACCCTCCAAGGAGCCCCATCCACTTCTATATTGCTGCCAACCTTGATGTCATTACTCGTGAAGGCATAAATTCCTGAATCCGAAACAAAATCGATAAGCAGAAAGGCTTAAGCCCTCGCAAGATTTAAAATATTTCGAGGAACTCACCAGGAAACCTAGAACGCAGAGACATTCCCGGCAGAACCCGAAAGCTTGCCGGGGAAGATGTCATCGAAGATGCGAGCAGAGATGAGCGGAGGAGGCGAGGGTTCGAAGTGAGATGGAGGGAAACGATTCCCGCCATTTTCAGTTGGTTCTTCTCGTCTCCGCGGCTGTGTAGATAATTGTCGGCGGCGGTCTGTTTTATCCAAACAAGCTTAAATGTAGATTTTCCACTGTAAAACCTTGTTGTTTCCAAAAACAATTCAAGGGAGATTTACATTCATATAACACAATTTTTATCTATTTATATATTAGCCCCACCAAAATTGGATATTTGCACTGCGAAAAACCTATCTAAGAACATGTGTGTTCCACTCTAAAAAAGATTGCGATTTTATTTTTTATGTAAAGTTAAAGATGTGAATTTTAGATATGTCAGCACTAGAGAATAGTGTGGCATGCATGACAATGCCCCCATTAGCAAAATATTAAACAGCATTCGAGACAAATCTTAAATAATCCACAGTGTCTTATTAAAATCTTTATCAATATAATCTGTTATTGAAGTGCAATACAAAAACAAGGGCATACCCTTAAAATATATAAATAAAAAAAAAACCCTAAAAAATGGCTATTTCAATTTAAACAATAAATTATTACAATACTGCCCATTTTAATTACTTGAAACATTTAAGAAAACAAAAAAAAAAAAGGCAAATCTTTTCATGCTACACCCATATTATTCTTCTACGGGGTATACAGGAGCAGAGAGGCTTTACAGAGCTAAAGCATTATGTATCACATTAAATCGTGATTTCAGAAGCTACAAAAATAAATCAAAAAATTAAAAAACGAAGCTATAGTAGAAATTATCTAGAACCCCTCCACACCACCAGGCCAACGGGGTAAAGGAGAAGGTAACTTCCTGCCAGAACTTTGCCTATATTCCTCAAAAGTGAGAGTGGAGGCACAAGTTGCTGGAGGCACCGTTACTGTAACTGAGACTCTGGGCGAAATCAATGGCCGATTCATCGAAGACGGCGGAGAAGGCGAAGAATACATTGCCGGCGCCGGAACTATGAGACCATTGAGGCTGGAGGACTTCGACATCTGCTTTTTTACTACCATCGATGGCTCTCGAAGCGGGTAACAGCTAGGGCACTTCATATCTTGGACGTTAGTGAGGGCTTCAACAATGCTCCTCATGGTAGGTCTCTCAGATGGATCTTTCTGAAGGCATTTGACGGCAATGTCGGCTACAGTGCGAGCAGCTTTTGGCGGGCACCGACCTTTGATTCGAGGGTCCATGATGAGGGATAGACGGCAATCGTCGGCAAGGAAAGGCTTGCTCCACTTGACGATATTTCGCTCTTCTTTCGGGTGGCGAGAATCCAGATTCTTCTTCCCGGTGAGCAGTTCCAGCAGGACGATGCCGAAACTCCATACGTTGCTCTTGGGGGTGAGCAAGCCTTTTTCTAGGGTTTCCACGGATAGGTTTGCACTGGCCTGGAAGAAAAGCATTCGTTATTACAGTTAAGCTGATTGAAATGTGTTTTTTTCACGTTATAACAAGATTTCATCATAATTATAGAGCAATAAAATGATTTTTGAAAGCTAGTTTATATCACCTACCACTGAGGTATTCACAATGTCTGGCTCTGGATTGTAGTTCATAGATCCATACCCTGATAGCTTTGCACTAAAATCCTTGTCAACTTGTATATTTGCAGTTGAGAACTCATGAAACATAGCCTGCATACATGAAGCATAAATCGACCTATGAGAAAAAGATTGATCATGTACAACAACAGCCATCCAAAACATGCAAGTATATAATGAAAGAATGACAATATCTATGGGACAAACAAGTCAAGCACAGGGATGAAACGGTAGGCTAAAATTAAATATGAAAGTACAAAGCATTTTGGTCCAAGCTGTTCAAACCAGGAAAGCGACGGGCTTTTTTTTTTTTTTTTTTATATCCCCATGTTCTAGCTTAAAAATCGCTTTTTTAATAGTTAATTAATGATTAATTATTTAATCAAATTATGTCTGTTAATGCAACCATCCCAATGAATAAAACCAATTTAACAAACATCACAAATGTTCCTAGAAAGTCTTTCGATTAATAAAAATCAATTCAACAACATCTTAGCATTAATTCAACTTTTGACTTAAAAAGCATATAGATTCATCTGCAGCTCAAAGCCAGCCATTTTAAATCATTAATAAAAAATTTGTGTAGCTCAAAAAGCTTCTATCACCATGAGGTGCTGAAGAAAAATCAGACATTGCAGAAACATAAAGCAAAACTAGTTTAACAAACAAGAGGAGGTAATTTGCAATTAAATTGGCTGAAATAAAACAATTGCAGGGTAAAAAAGGTGCATCACCTGGAAAGGCCCTTCTTCGTGCAAGAAAGCAAGACCACGTGCAGCACAAATGGCCAGCTTCATCCTTCCAGGCCAGTCAATTGTAGGCCCGTCGGATCTCCCATAGAGCAGCCGGTCTAAACTTCCATGGTAGAGCCTCTCATAGACTAACATTCTTTGATCAGAACCCTCACGTGCATGGAAGCCAATCAACTTACAAAGTTGGGGATGCTGTAGCGATGCTATGGTGTTCAATGCACTGATAAAATCCTTCAAATTCTGCCAGTAGCAAGTAATTCTCAGTTAGAAATTAGAACAAAAGTTTACAAAAAAGAAATTAATCGGGAACTGAAGGCAAACTAAACACCAAAGTAACAGCAAAATCAAGCTTGGTCTTTCTTTAAACAAGCTTCACTACTGTTCACTACTGTATAAAACGGATGAGTTTTCTTTCAAGTTAAACAAGATTTAGAAATCATATAATAACGCATGAGGATAAATGCATATAACACCTAAATGAATAATAAAGCTTTACTGAAACCAAAAATATACAAACAGAAAAATAAGCCACCACGAGAATCGGAATTAAACAAGTCATCAGGTTCTGTAAAAATTATATAAAATTTTATAAAAATATATAAAAGCATTACCTGAGAGGATGGCATTAATCGAGTGACTGTAGTCTCAAGCTTCTTCGATCCCACCGAATCATCTCCAAATGTTGCCTTGTAGACGGTTGATGAGATGCCTCCAGAAACACACCTATCAGCTGAAAAATGCTGGCATGCAGCAGCAATCTCATCATATGTGAAATTCCGAAGGCCACCTCCCCCTAATGGAGGCAGAGGCAGGGGACCAGAGTTTGAAACAGGGCCACCATTCTTGCTCGATTTGAAGCTATCCATATTCTTCAACACAGAATTACCCTTTGGAGATGGCAATGGGAGAGGAAGAGCCTTCATTTCTTCTTGGTCATCAAATTCGATAGAAGAGGAAACATACTGATCAGCAACAATTAAACTTGAAGGTGCAGATAGTGCCCGGGCTCTATTATTTGTTGCTCGAGTGGATAATTGAACTTGTTTTGTCAGATTCCTAAAACTTGGCGGAGCGGATTGAAGACATGGTCCACAAGCTTCGGGGTCAGGAAGTGCGGTGCCGATGTTTTCCGATACAGAAACTGGCTTCTTGTTCCGTGAATACTGGCTTTTCTTCTTCTTGCCTCTAATTATGGTGAAGCAGCCCATCCTGCTGGCACCAGAAATGAGGTTTGACCTGAAATTACGAAAACAAAGAGTTACAGCCACAGTTATAACTATAACAAATGATAGATAGTAAATATAGATTAAGACTTTATCAAATAGGTTATATTAAAGAAGTGCTAATGGGAGAATATCACTGATAAACATAGTAACCATCATGAAGAATTTCAGAAATGATAAACCAGCAAGCATAATGACTCCAATCAGCTTGAGATGTATCACATTAACAATTTAAATGTCAACTTCCAAACACGTGATATTATAGCATTTATTGGGCTGGTCCGCTTAAATGAATAGGAGCGCCAGCTCCCACCAACTATTGTGAGGGCTGGTCCGCTTAAATGAATAGGAGCCAGCTCCCACCAACTATTGTGAAAAAAAAAAAAATCATTTTTTGAAAACTGTTGTGGGTATTGTAATTATTTTCATTTTAAAATTTTAAAATAATAGCTTTCTTATAACTATGACATTACAATAGATCTGGTTATAAAAAGCTATTTCTCTCCATCAAAATTTTTTAGAAGCAGCAAGAGGGTTGTAGACTTGTAGTCAAATGAAACAATGGCGGCATTCTAAAAAACAAAGGGATAAACAGGATGTCACAAACAAACCCTTAGGGACCGTTTGGTATCAATTTTAGTTGAAGTATTTTATTTTTTATTTTAGTTTTGCTTTTCTTTTGTTTTTTATTTAAAATGAAACATTTTTAATATATTATAGGGATAATTATATAGATAACACCCAAAACATTGTTAATTTACAAAATTTAGCTTCCATGTGATATTCTTTAACTAATGTATTTACGCCTGCCATAATCAAACCATTGAAAATTTGGAAAAAATGAAAAATATGGGTTTGTGTTTTATCATGAATTTTGATATTTGAGATCAAATTTAATAAATAGATGAAAGATGGTGCTAGATTTGTAAATGGCAATGTTTCGGGTGTCATGTTACTATGTATGTAATCGCCCTATTTTTATAACATAGCGAGTTAATTTTAAAATCACTCAACATAATTTTAGATGTTCTAAGTATTTTTAAAAACAAGTTAATTTTTTTTTAAATCAAAATAAAAATGCATTAAACAAACATAATTTAAAAAAAATAAAAATTTAAAATTTAAAAAAAAACAAAAGTGATCCCAATCAAGGCCTTAATAAATATAATCAACCAACACAGATGAAAATATTTTACTTTCACTTTCTAAAAACTATATAACTATTAAAGCAGGCAAATCAGCAGTTTGTAAGATTTAAAACATCTAATCTAAGAAAATATCTATAGCTTCAGACCAAACCCAGCTTACAAACTATAGTAGATATTACCTAATCACTAATATTTATGGCTAATTCTTCCATTATTCGATAGTTATACCTATCAGCAAAAGTTGTTGATTTAGTTTTTGAATAAGTTAGATAAAAGAAACAGATCGTACTCCCGCTTTTGAATAAGAAAAAGGCAAAATCGACAGACCGATGAATTTAAACTGCACCACCATCCAAGTAAGCGAATTCCAGCATCCAAGATTCAATTAAATATGCTGCAAATCAATCGTGAAATTTCTTTCCCAATCTCAACCACCTCCAAAAAGCCTGCACAGAGCCTTCGAAGTACAATTATAAAACCTAAATTTCCCAGATTCATCAATCCAACAAGTCTCAGCAATCGCAGAAGCACGAAACCTAAATCCCCAAACTTCACCAAACGACTGCCGATCCTAAGTCCCACAATGCAACAATCAAACCATGCGAATTCGAACTCGATTGCCACCAAAAAAAAAAGAAAAAAGAACAAAAGATATCGGTAAACTCGCCTCAGAAGAAGCTCTCCGTCTTCGCCAATCCGAATCCAATGCAGAGGAAAGACCTCCTTCTTTTTTCGCTATAGGTGAGACCGGGAAAGGAGGAATAGCAGAGTAAAATAGGAACAACGACGAGAAACCGAAATTAAAAGAAAATAGAAAGAAGTAAAGAATAAGAAAAATCAAAGGAAGAATAAGGTGTGAGACAGAAGAAAAAGCAGGAAGATGATGGCGACAGATAGGTTTTGGTCAAACCGGAGATTTTGCGAAAACAACAACGCCGACTACCTTTTAAAAATTCTTAAAATGGCGCCTTCTCAAATTGCCCTTCCTCTTTGCCTTTTTTGTTGTTGCTCATATTTTCATGAGAACCCCTTATCTTATCAAATTATAAAATTTCATATTAATTAATCACAACAATTTTAATTATTAATCTAATTTTTATTTTTGGATTACAACAATAATAAATTTTTTTATCTTACTATGTGGGGTCCGCTATATAAATTGGCTAAACAATATTATTTTAATTTTTTTTATGAGAATATTTAATTAATATATATTGTTTTTATTAGTTTATATTTGGTGCTAATATGATTGCGAATTAATTTTGAAAGTTGTAAAATTATTTTTTAAAAAATGATAATTATTTTAAAATTAATTTTATGATATTTATAGTGTTTATTTTTTTATTATTATTTTAAATAATATTAATAAGATATAATAAATAATCAAATGTATGAAAATTAATAACCTTAAAATAATATATATGAAGATTTAAAACTTGGCAATAATTAATATGTAATTATCACTATTTTTCCAAAGCTAAATGGCGGTATTCGTAAATAAAAGAAAGAAGGAGGGCATCCAGAATACGATAAGAATAAATTAGGAGCCGGCCGTTGAGAGGGACAGCTCGGTCAAAGAGGGGAAAGCTAAGGATTCGAGGCGTTTTTTGGGTGCAGTTACATTGGTAGGAGATAAAATTTTGACCGCTAATTGACCGTTAGATTCAGATTCTCCTAAAGCCGGTCAAAGGTTAGCGAACCTCGCGTTGGAGGGATGCACACCGCACACTGATGAATAGCCCGTTGCGGGTCACACCTGGCTTATCAGATCAAACATAATTTTTTAGCGAGCACTTATATTTTACACATAACACTCAGTAACGATATATTTAAATATCTAACATCAAAATTTTAATTTTCATATTAATAACATCCAGCTTTTGAATTTTACATAAAAATGTCATTGTTCCGTGCTAGAAGATTCGAGATAATATGGTGATAATTTCTTATTTGTGTTGAAAGATGATCCAACACATACATAAATAAATGCAAGGTAGAAAGATGAGACAATATTTTTAGGTAAAAAAACTTGGAAAGGAACAAAATCACGAGACATAACCTAGTTAAAACAATTCACTATGTACATATTGTTAGTACATAGTTCCACTCATCTAATGATTTGAAAATAATAAAATTACAAAATTGATAATCACATATGTATAGTAGTAGTTTAGCTATAATAGTCATAATTGGGATACAATAAATATTGTTATCAGTTGTAATAATAATAATTAGCCACAAATATTATATTTGGTTACTGCAAAGACAATAGTTGGCAATAAAGATTGTAATTGATGGTTGTAACAACGGAATTTGGTCTGATATACCATATATGGAAAAGACAATTGTTGTTTGCTACAAAAGATCGTACTTAGTTGTTGCAAAGGCAATAACTAGCCATAAAAAATATGGTCGGTGGTTGCAATAGAAAAGGTTGGCAATAGAGACCGCAATTGGAAAATGTAACAATAGTTGTTTGCCACAAATATCATAGTTGGTTGTTATAAAAATAGTGGTTGGCTACAAATGTGATAGTTGGACAACAACAGATGCAAACAGTAGTACTCGGAGGTTGGTGGTCGGTAGTAGCAGGCTGTGACAACCGATGGTGATCGCTGGTGGCTGAAAGACAATGGTCAAAGATGCTTGGTGACTACAGATGTTAGTGGTTATTCATTGGGTCTTCAATAAATGTGTTAAAAGCAACAATCATATTTGTTACACAACAATTGCAAACAGGGGTTGTAGGTGGTCGGTGGCTAACGATGGTTGGCAGTGGCGACTGGCTGGCGACAGCAATCAATGATGACTGGCAGTGGTTGACAATTATCAACAGGTGATATTCGACGACGATTAACGATTACAATTTGTTGCACCGTCAATATAAGGGTTAGATATAAATATATAATATATGTATTCCGAATGCAATAGTTATAAACAGAGGTCATCGACGATAGATGGTTGGCAATTACGACCGATGTCGAACGACGATGACCAACGAGCAGTGGTCAGAGGTTATGAAAGCTGGTGTTTAGGTATTTAATATGGGTGTTAGAAGCAATAATCGTATTTGGAATAGAAAAGTTATAAACAAAGGTCACCAGCTACCGGTCCTTGGTAGCAACAGTCAATGATGATCAGTGGCGATAAACGGTGGCCGACGGGCGGCTGCCGATGGTGGTCAACGGGTATGAAGATCGGTGGTTATCATTAAATATTCCCTTCATAACAAGCTTTTGAATTCCTCTTCTTCTTTCCTTTTCCTTCAAGTGAAGGGAGAGAGAGAGACTATTTATAGAATTTGAGGAGGGATATTTTGATCTTCTTACACATAATTATCTAACCATCTGATCATATGGTCCCTGTTGATCTCCTTTGATCATAAATGGGATTTTAATGATTTAATTATCTTAATGACCTTAGAATTCAACAAGCTTATGCTCATTCGATTTGATTTTATTATAATTATGTTAATTTTGGAGTTTATTTGTTCATTCAATTAACGATAAAAAAATTTGATGAGTGTTTAATATGGAACATATTTTCATATATTTTTCTACAAAATTTTCACTATTTAATCATATTTATGTTTTTCCAGGTATTGTTTATGCTATTTGAAGGATACAAGGCTTAAAGGCTTAAAATGAGCTTATTGGCATCTGGACACCACAAAATTGAAGATTGTGAAGTAGTTACGCCACTGTCAGCATAGATGCCCGGTAATTTCATGCACACGCTTTCTTCATGCCCCCCCTTCAAATATAGTAATTGGCACATTAATACCAAATAACAGACGTACAAGCGCCTAACAATAGGCGCCTATACACCACTTTTTGGGCACCTAGGCATCACACCAACAAATAAGTGCCACTTATGAAGCGCTTAGGCGCCTCCTCCAACCAGGGCGCCACTTCTTCTGAAACTATGATGCTGCTTTTCAGATTCATGAGAGCTTCCTTACAAAGTGAGCAACATTCCAACACTCCAAAGCAAAACTCTGATGACAAAGAACCGACTTGGTGCAGTTACAATGGTTATATTTTTTTGGAAATTCATGGATTCAATAGATGGCTTCCAAATTGTAATTTTGAAGTAACAGTGGCTTCACTCTTCCACTAAGAGTGACACTGAGGGAAGAATGCAATCTATCAGAGGAAGTCGACGGAGATCACTTGCAAGTCAACCACATTCTTCATTGAAGGAATCTTAAGAGAGTGTAAGAGGTTGTAAGAGTTATCTCGAGAGATAATAAGTGCGAGTTTATTGTACTTTAAAGGATAAAAAAATCAGTGAATGATTTATACGTCTTATAATTGGGGAAAGATATCGGTGAGATTGTACCAACTTGTATTTACTTTAAATTTGTAATGGAATTTTTGTTTTGCTCATCTTTATGCATATGACTTAAATTTCTTTCTCCCTGAAATGTATTTTATGTAAGTTAGAATCAACCTTGTTATGTGATTGTATAAATTGGATATCATAATTGATACTTTAATCTTTTGACCTTCATTTACTCCTAAATAGTTCACTTAGAAAGTTAAATTAGGTTGTGATCTAGTACAACGGAGGTATGCTAGTAGAACAATTAGGTTAACCTACACTGCTCTAAGAAAATAGGCATATTATTTTTAGGATAGTGCAATCGTATAGGAAAATTTGTAAACACTAGGGTTTTTGCATGCTTACGGGTAACTATAATAGGAAACCCCAACTCTCTTTTGACCACTAAAATAGCTAAAGAAATTGTTGTTTCTGATTATAAATTTCATTTGTATTAATTAAATAGATTTGATTTGCATAATAAAAATTCAGGAGAGGCTTTCATTCACTACTAGTTGTAGGATTTGCTTTCTATAAAAATTTAAAAGTTAATAATTAGAAACTTTAAAAACATTTAATTTTGAGCCTTCAAATTAGACTCAAAATCAATAGATTAGAACTCTTATAAGTTTTGGAAGTTCACTCGTTACTTATTAGATAAATAAACGGACTCAATTATATATATTACTTGTACAACATGAATACTTATGTGATTCGTTAGTGCAACATAGCAGTTGGTCAGTATTAGACCTTCAATTGCAATTCAATGGCTTGAGTTGGGTTTTCTTGGACATGAATCGAATTAGATTTGGTATCATTATGTTTGTCTAGTCGAGATGGTGAATATGACCATAAACTTGCTTAAATCGCGGTTCTGATGATCATGAATTTGAATTTATAACTTTTATTGCTAAAAAAATGCATCGAGATTCATGTTAGATGACAAAAATTTATTAATGACACATCACTTACTATTTATACTTTTAAATAGTGAAATATACAATTTCATACATAGGTAAAATGGTGTGTGTGTGTGTGTGTATTCACGTGTGTGTATCAAAAAGATGTATGCATTGATCTTAAAAGAGATCCAACAATCTAGAGGGGAAGAGCAAGACGACGGCAGACCCACAACTAAGAGATCATGGGGGGCCACGTGACCGAAAGCGTAAAGCCAAGCAACCAAAAAATGACTGAGCCACGAGGTGAATAAAAAGACCGCCGAAGCACGAGACATCCGACAAAAAACGAGATAAAAGAGCATTTGAGCTAATCGCTACAGGAAAGCCGACTTGATGCGATAGACTGCCCTCCGGTGGAGACGTTTCAAAGAAAAACCCGGTTCTCTAAAATATCTATAACCATCCTGTGGAGACTCCATAGGCTCCTCATAGGAGATCAAAGATAATCAACTTGGTTGGATCAGTCCTCCGGTGGAGACGTTTCAAAGAAAAACC